CTTGAGTTGGAGTGGGGTGCAGGGAGGACTATAAACATGGTCTGACTGCTCCACAGGAGACACGTCCTTATCCCAATGTGCTGGCCGTGGATGCAACCAGAGGAAGATACCCAGGACAGGTCACAAGGCTGTGTAAAGAAAAAGGCTTCTCCCAACTGCAGTTTTGTAGCTTCCAGCAATCTGTGGGGTCTGCTTGGATGTTGCATCCAAACTATTAGGTTTAATCATCACTGATAGACCAAACCTCCATAATCTTGTCTAAAACCTTTTGAACCTATTTATATTTTCAGGCTACAAGATATCCTGTGGCAAACAAGTCCAAGATTTAATTATGTGCTGTGTGAAAAACCAATTCTTTTTGTTTGTTTTAAACTGGCCTGGTAATTTCACTGGGGCACTGACTCCCTGTGTTGTGAGAAACAGCGTCTAAAATACCTGAGGGAAGTAGAATCCCAGTTTTTATTGGAAGGGCATGTGATTATGACTTCTATGTGTTAAAAGCACTTCTGAAAATGGAGCACAGGTTCTACTTTTAATGCTTGTGGAAATATTGCCTCCAGTGCTCTTGTTTGCTCTTCAGCTTGTTTTTATTTATTTAATTTTTTTCCCTTAACCTCTCTTTACAAGCTACCCTAGTCCCTGACAGATCCAGTTCTCAAGCTCCTTGTTTACTCTGTTTGCATGGGCTTTGTTTTTTACAATATTCTCCTCTGAAGTGCTGCAGCAGCCGAGCGTCTCTCGCGGGAGCTGTGAGCACAAACCCCACCAAGGACAGGCACACGCCTCGGAGCGACCTCTTCCTCCTCATTATGTTTGTGATGGTCTCAATGTCACCAGTTCAAGCACAGGCACACAGGGTTCAATGCAGCACCGAGATAAAGGCAGGAGAGACATCCCCACTCCCCCGAGGCGTCAGCGACTCTGCCGCTCCTTGATTGTGCCTTTGGCAGACACCTCATTAAAAGTGGGTTATTCCACACAAACACCCCCTTGTCCTTTTGCAGGCGTAATCTGAGCGTGGAGGGGGAGCTCAGCCCCACAGCAGCGTCTGAGTCTATCCAGACCTCCACTCTAACGAGCTGCTGTTCATTTGTAGCCTTCTCTGCCCCTCCTGGAGTTGTACTTTCCTGGTGCATCCTTCACTTAACACTGTCTCACAAGCAGTTTGGATCGTGCCTCCAGCTACTAGAATGAAAATTAACATTACCCAAACCAAACCCAGGACACTCCTCTTGCAAATCCTTTGGTCTTAGTCCAAATAACGTTTCTCCTCAGTCGGATACACCTCCTGCATGAAACCTTCTGATGTATGACTAAGTTAACAGGTAGAGGAACCAGATTCTGAATCTTTCCCTTCCCATCATGTAAATGGTTTAGTGGAAGGTGTCCCTGCCTGTGACAGGGGATGGAACTGATCTTAAAGGTCTCTTCCAATCCAAACCACTCTGGGATCCTCTGTCCTGCAGCCTCCTCCTGCTGTGCTCAGAGCTGTGGTTCTGAGTACCCTCTGCACTGCAGAGACCTTTTCAGAGACTGCTCGTGCCTCAGTTTCCCTTTGCACTGGAAGGTTTGTAGGTAGATTTGGCAGTACTGAGTTAACAGTTGGACTCAGTGATATTAGAGGCTTTTTCCAACTTAAACTTGCCTGTGGCTCTCTGCTCTGTGTGCACACAGGCAGGGATTACCCCAGGGCTGTGTGGTGCTCAGAGCCCGATGCCTTGCAGGTAGCACCTCCACAGGGAGGGACTGTGGAGGGAGGTGTGAGGAGCTGCTGTGTGCGGAGGCTGCCACGCCTGCCTGTGGGCAGAGCTCCAGCTGCATGTGCAGGGAAAGGGATTTGGGGGAGGGAGAGGAGATTGGTCTACGTGGGAGCTCTGTGCCAGCCTGCAAAGGATGCAGGTAGGCTGGATCCACGCGTGCAGTGGTGGAAAGCTTCCACCGAGGCCTCTGTCATTGTAAGAGACTTTTGAAACACACCTCAGGAAAGGGGTTTCAAACGTGTCCTGGAGCTCCTCTTGCAGAACTCGCACGGAGCATCTCTGCTCTGGAGCTGTTGCTGAGTTTGCGGTGTGCTTTGCTCAGATGGGCGTGTGCGGGGTGCGTGGGCTGGGATGGGCGTGCAGCGGCGGCCGGCAGGGCTGGGCCAAAGGCAGCGCACGGCTCGGGGAGCCGAGCACGCCCCGCAGGGCTCTGCCCGAGCCGCTCCGCCAGCGACACCACCGAATTCCACGCCAGTGCTTTCTGTTTCGGGCGTTCCTCCGCACACCTGTGCTCCCCTCTTCCGTCCGGCTGGAGTCAGCCCTCGGGACCGAACCGCGACTCTCGCTCACTTGTTGAGGAGCATCGGCAGGAGAGGGAGCGGTTCCCTTGGAAACCTCTGGATGCCCAGCAACAAGTCGCTGACAGCTGCCATGTGACCAGGTGCATTAATCAGAAATGTTGTATGGATCAGGTCAGATGGGGCCAAAGTCCAGCACGCTCCCCCTCCACTCCACTGCTAATTACTGAGCTGCGAGGGCTGCTCAGAGTACGGGGTGGAAAACAACTCAAAATAATTAAATCAAACAGTGACCTTTCTTGTTGTGGATTCTAAGTTCATCCCAGAATATCTCCACGAAAAAAATCTGTCTGATCCCCTCTTCCACTGAAACAAATCTTGAATGCAAATGTGTGGGGCAGAGGAGTCTCCCGAGGTGGAAAAGCCAGGGAGAATGAATGTGCCATGGACACAGAGAGTTCCCAGCTCTCTACTCAAAATAAGCCCAACATTTCAAAAGAATCTTTTAAATAAGTAGATCAGGCTTGAGACAGTTTGGGCTGGACAGGTACAGCTTGTGTTCATCACTTGGATCCTTTTGAAAATCATATTTCTGAAGCCTCAACTGAATTTGCTGGCCAGCATCACCAATTAGAATGGAGGGAAAGGACTTGAGTCCAAACTCCTGCCCAACAGCCCTAAAAGAAGAGGCTGCAGCTCTCAGGAAAACAGGCAGTGCCTGTGCACGTCTCATCCCTTGTGAACAGCTGCAAAATGGCTGTTCTTTGTAATACAGAGACCTGGAGCCCCTCTGCTCTGGAGCCAGGCTGGAGAATTGGGGTTGTTCCTTTACCCTGGGAGAATTGGGGTTCCTTTACCCTGGGAGAATTGGGGTTCCTTTACCCTGGGAGAATTGGGGTTCCTTTACCCTGGGAGAATTGGGGTTGTTCCTTTACCCTGGGAGAATTGGGGTTCCTTTACCCTGGGTTTCCTTTCTAGGATCTTCTGAGGGAATTAGGCATCCAAGGACTTGGGTACCCCTCAACATTTTCCATAAGATGTTGTTTACAGCTTCAGCTCTCATTCTTTTCATATTTCCTCCAAATTTTTGCTTTGCCTGGACCAAGGGACAGCAGTGGCTTCCAGATTTGTCTCCTGAAGGAAAATCTCTTATAAACACACGTCCAAGGTCTAGCAGCAGCAAGGCTGTAACGTCTTCTCTTACCCCAACACCAACCTACATTCTTTGTGCTGTGACTAATTCATGGCAAGGTTCATCAGGTCCTGCCAGGCTCATGCCCTGCTGCAGGGTTTGTCTCCTAGGTTGTGATTGGTGTCACACACTGGTACATTCTGCCCCAAACCAGCTTTTATCTCAGGCAAAACAATGGTGTTGCTGTGGCTGGGCAGGGCCTGGACCGGCATTTGGCCTGTGATCCATGGTAGTGGGGGAAGACAAACAAACAAACAAACAAACAAACAAACAAACAAACAAGAAGAGTTGGAAACAGAGCACCTGGTTTATTGTAATCGCTCTGTAATTTGAATAGCATCCAGTGCCACTTGAAAATGGGCTCCTTCATGTCATCTGCTCTTACTTGCAGGTCTTAAGAGCCTCATTTTACCCACTGGGATCCATTCGTAGCAGAAATTTCCCAAATCAGACATGAATGTGGGTCTCAAGTATTACCCAGACAAGCCTTCAATTCTGGACCATTTTGATTTCTATCTAATTAATGTTGCCACCAATTATTATTTTTCCTTTGGTATCATGTGGTAACCCATCCCATGCACAGGATATACCAAAAGACAAAGCTTTACTCAACAGGCTGACCATCCAGGGTAACTTAGGGCAGTCTTGAAAAATTGGTGTCTGCAACCTGTGTGTTTTCCATCCTAGAGGTGCATCTCAAACCCATCCCTGCTGACACCCCCAGTCAAACCCAGGGACATGAGTGTTTCTGGAGGTGAGGGTTAGGAAATAAATTTGTTCTCAGTGCTGAATGCTGTGCTCCTTGGCACACTTGTCTGACCTCCTTGCTCTGGAAACAGGAGAGGTCCAAACGAATTCAGCTACTCAGACCTGGGCTGTCTTTCAGTTTGGTGTGTCTGGGAAGAAACGGAGGGCTGGGGATTGTGCCAGCTCCAAAAACAGAATGATGAGGGCTGAAGCTTGGCTTGTCCATTGGAGTGGGAAAGCAGCGGGTACGAGCCCCTCAGTCCGAGGGACACCGCGGCAGGATGGAGAGGACAGGCTGGTCCTGGGGAATGCGGAGCGAGCGACCCGCACAAAGCAAAGCTTCCGTGCTCACGCTGGAGCCAGGTGCGCTCTCTCTCCCTGCGGGCCGTTCCCGCTGTTCCCCCTCCCGGGGAGAGCTCGGAGCGCGCTCCGCCGGCTCTGCCCCGTTCCCGGGGCTCGCCGCTCCCCGCACGGACCTGTTGCCGTGCGGCCCCGGTGCCGGGCGCCGGTGAGACTCTTACACTGAAGGCGGGCGGTCCCATGATGTAATGCTGCCGCAGCTGCCCGGAGCGGCCGCTGCCGTTGGCCGAGGCGCGGAGTCCCCGCCCGGGCGCTCCGCCCGCCGCCCCCCCGGCGGGCCATAAAAGCCCCGAGGCAGAGGCAGGGCAGCTTCCCCGGCCCCTCCGCCGCTCAGGTGACCCAGGGCCAGGTGAGCCCCGCAGGCTCGGGGACGCTGCCAGGGGCTCCTCGGCCACCTGTGGAGCCGCTCCCGCCTCTCCGCAGGGTCCCGCTCCGGCGCAGGGACCCGGCGGCTGCGGGCAGCGCTCGGGGGACGGGGCCGCTCTCCACCGGCCCTGGGGGCAGCCGGGGCGGGCGATCCGGGGGGATCCCGACCGGATCCCGGCGGCGGGGCCGCGGATCAGCACCACGGACAGCGCCCGGCGGCGCCTCCCAGGCGCGGCTGGACCGGGACGCGAGCCCGGCACCGGGAAGCGGCACCGCGCACCGGCGGCTGCGGGCAGGACCCTCCCGGGACATCACCGCCCACCCGGAGGCACCGAGGCGGCGCTGGATGTTGGCCGGGGCCGGGGTGAGTCCGGCCCGGAGGGGTCTCTGCGGGAGAGGGGAGGCAGGAGAGCGGCAAAGGGAGCGGCACAGCCCGGCCACCTGCCCGCAGGTACCGGCCAGGGATGCCCGGCTCGCGTCCCCATCCAGCCCTGCCCGCACGGAGCCAGGGGCCCGGAGCCACTCGGGAGGGACTCGGGCTCGGGCTGGGAGCCCAGGGCCGGCTGAGGTGGGAAGGGACAGTGGGATGGGGGCGTTTTCCAAACATCCTCAGGTAAGACACGCTCACAGCCTCGGGTAGGGCAGGGATTGAAAACATTTGGGAAGCACGGTGTGATTGCATGAATCCAAATGTAACCTGCACTTTGCATCTACTCAACATCAAAGCTTTATGCTGGAAAAGCCAACACTCTCGTTTTGAAAATGTGCCTGACTGGTAGTTCATGTGTAAAGTTGCTCTTAAAATTCCCTAGTTTGTAGGAGAAACAGGACATTTCACCAAGATACTGTTGGAGATGATGCTTCATGAACAGTTAACTGAAATTATTTTTCCTCCATGGCTGATTCTATGTGACTACTCAAAATCTGCCTTGCAGTAGTGGCACACTTTGGGTCCATTGGCAGATTGTGTTATCTTGAAGTGCTCAATGGCTAAATCAGAGTGGATTTTTTCCCAAAATGCTCACCTCCAGAGAAAAGAAATTTAAAATTGAGTGTGATCAAATTAAACACAGTTGTTGGTTTTTGTTTTTAATTTTGACACAATTAAAACAACCAAGTATTTATCTCTGGCTCATGCTGAAATAAAACATTATTTTCTTTTTAGATTATTAAACCAAGGATCTAATCTAGAAAATAAAAAAAAGATAAAATGTTCAAGTGTTTGAGCACTTTGGAAATTAAGCATTTCACAGAGTTATTGCCAGCTGAAGTGATTTGCTGCATTTGTTTTATGTCCATTTTTGGAAGCTGGGATATTCCCTGAATGAATCCCTGTTCATTGGAAATTCTGCCCCAGCTCTACTAAATGTGTGTTTAAACACTTTGCTGAACAGAGGCTCAAGGTGATTTAATCCAGGCTCAGCCTGGCCACATCTGTCCTTACACTTGTATTTTTCCTGAGTGATGTTGGCCTCTTGGAGGAAAAGGAAACAAGCTGTTCTCCATTTTAAGAAAACTCCTATTTTTTACTTCAGAATTAAATATTTCTGGGGAAAAAAAGAAGAAAAACACTTGAAAAGAAAGTTATTTCCTTTCAGGCCTTGACTATCCACACAACCTTTAGACATATTTTATAGACATTGAACAAAGTAAGGGTGGTAATGTTTCCCTGTGGAACTGGAGTGGGGAGATATCTTTGTTATCTCTCTGTAAATCTTCTAACATCTCCCAACAACTGCTGAAGTTCAGTCTGGGCAGTGCCTTCTCTCTGCCAACACCAATATCAGGCTCTTCTCCTGAAGTGCAGCTGTAAAATAAGGGGGAAAAAAATCCCATATTCTTCACCTCCTGCCCCAAAAAGCCATGCAGAAGCAGCCAGAAAATGATATTGTACCAAATACCTATTCCTGCTTTTATGGGTTTATCTCCACATTCTGGGAAATTACCTAATCAGATTTCATATTTAATATAAAAAATAGCAGGACAGATGATATCATATCCTCAAAGCTAACTAAATTTTGTATTGTGTAGTCTTGCTTAATCAAAGTTTTATTTCCATTTGTTCAGGGCATATTTTGTCACCTTTTTATTTTATTTTTTTTTTTACTGGCAATTTTCTGTAGATCTCATAGATGGATCCAACCCAGAGGTCTCTGAAGAACAGGGGACTCAGGGTAAGGTCTGAACTTAATTCAATTTAATTCCTGACCCTTTAAGTATTCTTCAAAATGAGTAAACTCATGAAATGAATCTGGCAGGAGGGTTCCATGTCACCTGCTGGAAGCAAATATTTGAAGTTTTGCCAGAAATAAACACCATACAGACACCCAGATTTTTATTGTTTAAAATTCAATAGAAATAAAGCCTGTTCAAGGCAAGATCCTTCTTGGCCTCTCCCCTCCCTCCACACAGACAATGTTCCAGGCTCCTGGCTCTGTGTGCCTTGCACAAATATTTGTCTGTGTGTCGCTGCCACTCCACTGCAATCGTGGCCTCTGGTAGTAGCTGGGAGACTGGGAGGTGCTTGGGAATCTCAGCAGGAAAAGGAGAGTGGATTTCAGACACCAGATCTGTGACAGCTTTTGAGCCTGGGCAAACAGGATGAGGCTGTTGTGCCTTTGGCAGGGATTTGTTCTGCCCCTGCAGGGGTTCACCTCCAGCCTCTCTCAAACGCTGCCCTGGGGACACAGCACCTGCCCCACCCCACTCCTGCAGGCTTCAGGCCACAGCCCATGGCCAGAGTGGGATCTCAGGGAAGTCTGAGCAAAGGATTTGGTTTTTCTGCCCCCCCACATCATAGGATCACAGAATGGTTTGGGTTGGAAGGGACCTTAAAGCTCCTTGGGATGTGGAAATTGTGTTCCATGTGTGTTCAGCACTTAAAGATTCAGATTCTGACTCTGGGACTGGCTCAGGGGTTTAGGAAGGGCAAAGAAAAGCTCTTTCATGGCACACCCTGTCTGTGGCTCTGCAGGTGAACACATGGACCTGCAGCCAGCCAGCAAACCCTGGCCTCAAGAAGAGAACTTTGTCTTTTGATTTATTTTAATTTGGAGACTCAGAATTTTTCATAAACCCACAGTAACTTACACAATGTCAGGCTCCACTTCAGGAGAATACAAATGCACAAACTTCAGCACTGAACTCCCGCAGGAATCAAACTAAAGTCAAGCACTTGGCTGCACTGAGGATTAAAGGATGTTTCCATAATGTTATGCAAAGATCTTTTTATCCTGTGTTACTTAAGGCTGTACATTCTTCCCAAGTCATGTTCAGAAACACAGCTCCCTCCCCTGTGATTTTCCAAAGCATTTTACTGTTTTCAGGTGCTCAGCATGACATATTCCAATTAATCCTGATTTTCAGGGACTTCTAAGCACCTGCCTCTTGTAAATGGTCCCTTTCAGAGTGTCTCAAACACAAATATAAGGTGTCCAAAATTGCTAACTTTGAAAATCCAGAGCCATGACGAACAGTCCACCTACAAGATTCCAGCCCAGGTGAAAATTGCATGGATTCAAGCCCCCCAAACTCAGAGGCAATAGTCAATACCTGCTCCTGTGGGATGACAATACACCCTGCCATTAGAGCAAAGTTTCTCTTAGAAAGGAGAAAATTGCACAATACCCAGTGAGAACAAGTGCAAATCTTTTCAGTTCAGCTCACAAAATTATTAATGTTGCGGTCTGTAATTCTGGCTAATCAAATATTCTGTTGCTCCGTGTTGCCAGTCGATTTTTCATGGAGAAATCAATGCCACAAAGAGATGGAAAACTTATCCTGAGTTGCTCTCCTCAGACAAGGAGTCCCCACCTGGGGGACAAAGGCTGCAGCAAAGGGCAGTGCTCTGCAGGCTCACACCTTGCATGGATCAGGAGCACTGGGAATTTCTCAGGAGAAAGGAGAGCAAAGGCCCGTTCAGACAAACCCTTTCCCAAGGGGGAAAGAGCTGGGAACGTTGAAAAAGTTTTCAGTTGCTCCAATGGGTTGTTCAGACCTGCTCAGAGATGATCTGTAGCCTGAAAGCAGAGGGGACAGACAGGAGGACAGTGCAGGGCTGAATGCAGATCCCACCAGGCACAGGGAGCAGCAGCAGAGCCGTGCCCTTGCACAGAGCCTGCCTCTGGGAACAGCTGCTGGTGACAGGGACAGGGACACCCCTGGGACAGGACAGACTGCCTGCCATTCTGGCTCAGCTGGGAAAAGGTGGCTGCAGCTCTGCTTAGACCAGCTCCTCCTCGACCCTGCCCGAGGCACAGCGAGAGGTGAGAAGCAAACTAAGAAAAGGCAATGCTTTGACTGATTTTTGTAATCCTCGTCAGAAACCTAAAGCCAGTCCTAAATGAGGCACCTCAAATCTCTTGTCCATAAAGACAGACCTAGTGATCCTCATCTCCAGGGTACCAGAAAACCAAATTCAGTGAAATCTGTAAGGCTCTGGTGATCTGAGAGCAAATGGAACCAGAGAACAGAAAAAGGTGATTATCCTGTCAGGTTTGGCCTGGGAGGAAGATTATCCATCTATCTTGCCAGACCTATTTATCGTCTGATTTTCTCCTGGCTTAGCTTTTATCACCTTTCTAATCCTCCCCATCTAATTCAGCCAACATTTTATCTCAGCAGTTCTCACCCAGTGCTGACGACGGTGGGCTTGGAGCTCTGGGCAGGTTTTACGTGACCTCACGGGGGCTGCACAGGTGGGTGGAACATTAATTGCCAGCTAATGAGTTCACAACTTTCAAAAATAAATGAGCTGGTATATTTTTCTAGGAGAGCAGTGTTATATCTCTCTGCTGGTCTGTCAATGAGGGATGGGTTTGGAAGAACTCCTTTTCCAGAATTTTTTAAAAATGGGCTAATTCCATGTAACACATAAATCTAAGTGTGTGTACACCTATACCTGTTGTACAATGTGTATTTCAGTGGATGTGAGGTATGAAATTGGTTTCTGGGATGGAAAGTACTGGGATGCATCATTTGAATCAAGCAGGACTCAAAGATAAATTTGAGGCAGATGATGTTTTTTGAGTATCGCTCATGGTTTGAACCCACTCAGAGAAAACAATGAAATTCCAGGGCTCCCAGTCCCTCACAGGGTTCAAGGCCCAAATCCCAGTGGGATGGAGGTTTCTGTGGATCCCACAGCCCTTTGCCTTTCCCTTTTCATCCCAAATCAACGGGCACTTTCCTCACCTTGCTGCTGGTGAATGCATTAGGAGCTGAACTTTATCATGTCTGCAGCAGTTCCTGGAATAGCTGCAAGCTGAGCACTTGCTTAGGGACAGCCAGGAGGCTGGGAGAGATGATTACCTTCAGGCAGTCTCCGTGGAACATCCCAGGGTTCCTACAGGCACAGCCTAATGTGGGACTTAGGATGCTGAACAGGCTCCCATTACAGGGCCAGCCATCTCCACACTTCCACACGGAGAGGGCTCCTCGTTAACATGCACACCAGTGGCTCCAGAACACAGCAGCCCAGTCGGGGCTCATTAAGGGCAAAATCATTCCAAGGGACATTGTTTCAGAAAGGAAAGAATTTAATTTCTCTCAGGGCTGGGGTTGAGTTGCAAAGAGCCTGGGGATTTTGCTCAGGGCTGTGTTGGAGTGTGGAGCTTGGCCGTGCCAGAGGCTGTGGTGGGGTTACCCTGAGAGGGACCCACAGCATCTGCCCCAAAGAGACCCTGGCTTGCCTCAGGGGCACATTAAACTAAATCTTTGTTAAAAAGGTGACTTAAAAGCCTGTGTGTCCTCTGGGAATCAGCAGCTGAGGTGGGAATTGCTCAAGTGTGAGCCACAGGCTCTGCTCTGCTGATGGAGGAGGCTCTGTCTGTGTGCCTGGTTCTGCTCTGTCCCTGCCCCAGACCTGCAAAGCTTTTGAAACCAGGAGGGGCAGTTGTGATGAGGAAATCTCAGTCCACTTTTATCAGCAGGTATTAAAAACCCCTAAGAATTATCATTAATAGATACAAATGAGTCACTGCACAGCTGAAACGTCCACTTTCTACTGTTTACCATGGAACAATCCACTGGAACACACAAGACATCCAATGCTTTAGCAATACACTGCAAATAAACATCTAATTATCAGGGCTGAGAGGGGAAGGCCTAAAAAGCAACAAGGATGAAGCCATTTGTCATCTCAGTTTGATCTCCTGTTTGAGTCCTGCATGAAGTGTGCTGGTAGCTCTCCTCTCCCACGTGTGCCACTGCTCCTTGGGAATAACTCTGATGCCTGCTCATTCAAAGCTCAGCTCTATTTTAAAAATCTACTCTTTCTGAAAGGGCTGTCTTTAAAAAACCCCAAAAATTGTACAGGAAAAAGGACAAAATTGCTTCTCAACAAAGGGGCTTATCAACAGCCTGTCAATAATGTGCCAAAGGCCAGAACCTGCCTTTCAAAGAGGCTCTGAAGCCTCCACATGTACTTTGAGAGCAATTAAGGGATGTAAGCAACATGATTATTATCTCATGGGTGACATTTTCATCGGCTCTTTGGGAAAAATGAGAGATGGGCTTGAGATGGCTGTGATCAATGTTCACCCCAGTCCCGCAGAAATGGCAGAAAAACATGTGGTAGATGGGCCTGGAAATCAAAATGCACAAGGAAAGGAAGGGTGGGAGGAGGAGGTGATGAAGCCAGAAGGATTTTAAATCACAGAAGCTGAAAGAATGAGTTACATGAGCAGGAGAGAACCTGAGAAATGTGAGTGGGAACCTGTGACTTCCTTTGCCCATCTCAGGCCAGGTCTTCCACCTCTTCACTTATCAGGGCACAGCTCCATCCTGAGCGTGAGGAAAGAGGAGCAGAACATTCCCAGGGCCTGAGGGGATGCCTCAGGGCTGACATGTGTCATGGGCACTCTGTTCCTTCTCCAGAGTTATTGCACAGAGCCACTGAGTTTGGGGATGAGCTCAGGCCTGGCTACCCCGGCTGGACTGGAAGCACAGAGCCCACACAGCCTCTGCTGCCAGCCCAGGACAGAAGCCAAGCAGGAGCTCAGATGTTGCACATACCCAGCTGTTTTGGAGCTAGGCAAAATGTTTCATGGAAAACACATCTGCAGAAGCCCATTTGGCTGCAAGATTTCCCCAGTTTTGCTGAATTTCTTGTTTAGGAAAACAAACTTAATTGCAGCAGAACAAATTGTTGCTTAATTTGCTATAAAAAATCTTTTTTCTACATTTCATTTTATGAAAAAAAGTTAGAAATGTTAACGTTGAGTGAAAGAAATGATTTTTTTAAATGTTTGGAAATCTTCCTTGTCCCAAAAGATGCTGTTATATTCCCAGCTCCTCTCTGCATGTATCAGCTTAGAGGAGCACATATCCAAATTTCTGTGTGCATCCCCACAAGTGTGCACTCACACTCTGGGCAAACAACTCCAGGCAGTCCTGACAGGCATAAGCTGCTCTGCATTCTCCAGGAGTGCCTTTTTTTTTGAAGAGGATCTTAATAATAAAAATAATGTTATGTTACTAGTTAAACACTGGGAATAATTCCTCCATCACAGGCAAACTGTGCTGCAGGCAGGAATGAACCCCCACGTTCCCTGGGAGGAATCCCTGGGGTCCCAGCAGGATGCATTAACAGCACGTCTCTCCAGTGAGCCGTGATGGGAAGAGCACGGAGCAAAAAAAAAAGGTAAAGTGGTTAAAAACAACTTGTATTTTTAGAGCCCAGTCTCCCACAGAAATCTTCCAAGATGCTGAGCTCTCCACTTCTGATTTGCAAGGAATAATAGTTTGGAAGCCCAGCTGAGACTCCTGGGCTGTAAATTTTCTGTAATGTTTTTCTCCAGACCCATTTGCTGTCCTGCTAATTAATCCAGGTAATGGCTGGGTTGTTTTTTTCCCTTCAGCAGCAGTTTTCCCTTTTTGTTAACACGAACAGAGAACCGAAGAACCGATCTCTCGAAGGATCCTGGCTGGCAGCGGTATCACCATCTGACTGAAGAGAACTCAGCCACACGCATAATCCTCGGGAAAATTCATCTCCACCCTCCCGCAGACCCCGGTGAGAGCCCTTGAAGTGGTAATTAAAGTCTATTGAGTGGCAACTGCACCTGTTTAGAGAGGAGAGTGCGGGTAAGAGGTGCACAAAGGGAGATGAGCAGCGCGGAGAGAGGAGCTGCTGGAGGTGGGGAGGAAGAGAAGTGGAAAGAAGGAGGGAAAAGGTGTTTGTTGAAGTCGATCCAATCAGTTGTACATTTCCATCCTGCCCTAGATTTGCTCCCTCCGCGCTCTCGCAGCCACTGATGGAAGCTCCGGGGGGGTTTCCCCACCAGCCCAGCCCCGGCCCCGCTGCTCCTGGGGTGGAATCCGCGGTTCCACAGGGTCCATGAGGGCTCAGAGCAGCCCCGGCTCAATGAAACCCGCGGTTCCACAGGGTCCGGGAGGGCTCACAGCAGCCCCGGCTCAATGAAACCCGCGGTTCCGCAGGGTCCATGAGGGCTCAGATCAGCCCCGGCTCAATGAAACCCGCGGTTCCGAAGGGTCCATGAGGGCTCACAGCAGCCCTGGCTCAATGAAATCCGGGTTCCGAAGGGTCCGGGAGGGCTCAGAGCAGCCCCGGCTCAATGAAACCCGCGGTTCCCCAGGGTCCATGAGGGCTCAGATCAGCCCCGGCTCAGTGAAACCCGCGGTTCCACAGGGTCCGGGAGGGCTCACAGCAGCCCCGGCTCAGTGAAACCCGGGTTCCGAAGGGTCCATGAGGGCTCAGATCAGCCCCAGCTCAGTGAAACCCGCGGTTCCGAAGGGTCCATGAGGGCTCAGAGCAGCCCCGGCTCAGTGAAATCCGGGTTCTGAAGGGTCCGGGAGGGCTCAGAGCCGCCTCTGCTCAATGAAACCCGCGGTTCTGCAGGGTCCATGAGGGCTCAGAGCAGCCCCGGCTCACTGACGCTGCTCAGCAGCCCCTGGCTCCTCGGGCTGGCTCTGGGATGTGCTGGCTCTTGTCCCTCCCGCTGCAAGAGGGTGATCTAGGTGCAGGCTCCAGGAAAATTCTCATTCTGAGACCCATGGCTTGATCACAGAACTCCTGGCTCCTGCTGTCACAGTCCCAGTGTGACCTCAGATGGCAGCAAGCAGGGTCCCAGGCTATTTGCCTCTAAAACTTAAGTCAAAGACCCCTGCAAAAGCTTTTTATTGTAGAAGTAAATAACCACCCTTCCACTCTACACAGGCAGTACTGATACCCTTGACTCCCCTTACCCAATCCCAAAATCCATTGTTTTAGGTGGCACTAGAACAGTAGTGTGGGCTTTGTCCCTTGTCACTGCAATTCCCTGTGTGCCCAGAATCAACTGGGCTGAACCAGGATTCCTGGGGTGAGGGCAGGAGGGGCCAGAGGTTCATCCTGAGAGCACCCCGAGGCTGAGCTGAGCAAACAGGTCAGGCAGAAGAATTCCACCAGTGTTGGCAAATTCTTCTCTCTCACTGGGCTTGATGGCAGCCAGTCCCCTGTGAATCCCTGACCTTCACACTCCACAGGCTGCCTGGGATGGCTCACAGAAACCACAGGAGATTCTCTCCTGTTCCTGATTGTCAGAGCACAAAGCAACTCTGGTGTGAATGTTGTTGCATCTGCTTTGGACAAGTCCTGTCAGCAGCACCTCTGCAGCTTCCCAAAGCTGTGCCAGGACATGCTCCAGGGTGAGAATGAGGATAGGGAAGAATTTGCACTTCACAGAATCCCAAACGGTTTGGGCTGGAAGGACCACAAAGCCCATCCAGTGTCTCTGCTGCCATGGCCAGGGACACCTTCCACTGTCCCAGGTCACTCCAAGCCCCATCCAGTTCCATTGACTGATCCAGGTGGGGTTTGAAATTGGTTGGGTGTCTGATCCAACCATTGGGCTGCAGTTTGTAGAGACAGACGGACATCCCTGGACAGCAGGAGAACCTGCCAGTCAAGTCCTGTCCCAGGGTGAGAGGAATTGTTGGGCCAGCTGGGCAGGGAGGCTGCATGACCACACTGAAAGCCCAAATGCCATAGAATCCTCCCTGAAATACCCTCCTTGCCCCTTAAACTCCAGCCCTGTCATGGATCAGCTCACTGGGTGGAAGGGCACCATGTGATAACTCGCCTTGTTTCTGCCTTTTGACTCCCAAACACTCCTCTCTCATTTTCCCTTTTAGCCCTTCTGTCCCTCAGCCCTTTTCTCTCTCCACCTTCCCTCTGATTGCTGAGCAGCTTTTTGACTTTTCCATCAATAAGTCTAAAGAGCATTTGAACCGCTCTGGTCCCCCTTCTCTCCTCCCTCCAGTTCCAAATCAGGCAAGCTCATCGATCAGAGGAGCTCAGGAAATATCTGGTGTTTTGTTGTCAGGCTGATAATAACATTGCAGTTGTGAATGGGCTGCTGCAGGCCTGATCATGGACACCTGCAGGGTTTGTTTAATTGCATTTAATGACAAATCCTATACAGAGGAGCATTGCCAGAGAGATTTATTATCCGCCAAAGAGGCAAAGCACAACAGCTCAAAATATAATTTGCACTGAGCATTTTTCCCCCTGCCTCTCTTTAAAGCACGGTAATAAATGACAAATCGGGTAAAGTGGGAGACACGGGGCTGGGGAGGAGGTGGAGGGCAGAGGACAGAGATTGAAACCAAAGGAAATAACAGCAATAAGGCCACATTGTTCTCTCTGCCCTCCCTGTGGTCTGGTGTGCAGGAAATTCTGTTTGTTTAATTTACAGCCTGGAAGTGCAGCTGGGGATCTCTCTGTGATGAGCCTGCTTGGAGATAGCTGCAGGCCAAGAGTCCCCACTCTTTCCAGACAGGCTTTTTCCCGTGGTCCAGAGCTAAGTTTAGCTCCCATCCTTAGAAATGATTCCCAAGGAGCCTCCCAGTGCAGGGGAGAGGGGCGAGGTGCAGCTGCCACAGGACAAGGAGCCAGGTCCCTGAAATGTCTGGGACAAAGCAGGAGTGGCAGATCCCCTCCTGGCAAATGCCACACAGAGAAATACAGCCCCACAGAGACAGTCTAGACAAAACCTCACGTGCCTCTGAGCCTGCAATTCATGTTTCCTACTGAACACCTACCTCGCTCTGAACAGGGAATGGCTGGGTGTGAAACCAAGAGAGGAGCTCTTGCTCACATGTCTCTGTCTTGATTTTTACTTGACTGGCTGGCAATGATTTGTGGTAAATCCCTTGGTGGAGCTGTGTCCCAGAAAAAGGACTGAAAAGTGTCCTGGTCACCTGGAATTCCAGTCCAGCTTAGCACTTCCCAAACTGTCTTCTCTCTCAAATTTATTCTTCTTTACAATTCATCCTCTCTTCCAGTTATCTTGGGCCGAAGACTGAATTGTCCTGGATTTCTATTTCTAGATATTGTCTCACTCCCCAGATGTTTTCACTGCACACTCACTACTGTTCCACTTAAATATTCAGATTAGAATCACAGAATATCCTGAGTTGTAAGGGACTCACAAGGATCATCCAAGTTCAGCTCCTGGTTAAATTTTACCCGGGAGGTTTGGGGTGACAGCACTTTTGTACAGGAACACATCCCCCTGTGTTCAGCAGCTGGCTCTGTCCTTACACAAACAGGGTGTTGGGTAACACCTGGGCCCGTTTTTATCTGATTTCCTGGACAATGGCAGTATCACTAATGCTCCCTGTTAAATAAGACCACCTGGACATCTGCTGGTATCAGCCTCAGCTATCACAAACACTCCTGCTACCTAGGCCAGCACAAAGGGCTGTTATCTCAGGGCAGCACAAATCCCCAGACTGAAAGACCCATCTGGAGTTAGAATAAAGTGTCCATAGAAAGCACATATGTTATAAAAAAAAGAGAGGGAGGGATGGGACTGCTCCCCATGAGCTCCCACAGGGCACAGCCCCTGCCAGCAGCAGCAAACCCAAACCCTCTCCTGTTGCTGCACACTCTTCATCCTCCCATGGACGCTGAGGAATGGTTTTATTTCTTTCCCTTTTCCCCCACCTGCTTATAAAAGTACCCATAACAGCTGGGTGAAGATGGGAAGAGGCTGTTCCCTGCCTGATTTCAGTGGCTGAGGTGAGCAAAGCTCTGCTGGACAAGGAATAAAGATCCTTTCTGTGGCTGTGAGCCAGAACTGTCCTTCCACACCTCATCCACGTGAGGGATTAACAGAGAAAACCTGGGCAGTGAAAGAAAAGCTGGACCCGAACCAAAGATTGCTCATCAACAAATCCAGAGAAATGGAACAGCAAAAGGGGTTTGTTTTCCTTGCTGAAATCAGCCTCTCAGTGGGATTCCAGGAATCTCTGCACTATCATTATCTTTCTCTTTGCAGAGTCCTTTTCTCCAGTGTTCCCCAGCATATATTGCATTTGCTTATTGTAGTCAGACTCAAATACAGCTGGGAGACAGGCAGTTGACAGAGCACTTCTGGAGAAGTTTATCCCAGGGTAAGGCAGAGGAGCCCCTGCTGAGCCCTGATGTCCCTGTAGAGTCTCTGGAGCGAGAAAATGGAGCAGAAACTCACGGGAACAGCACAAATTGGAGAGATGATTACAGGGAGGTTTGATGTGGTCTCAGGAGGAACGCTGCAAAGGGCAGCATCCATCCCTGAAGGGGTGACAGGAACAAGGATTACAGGATGAGAAGAACTGAGGAAGGATGCTGGGAGAAGACGTCCCTGAGGAGGAATGGCTGCTCTCCTGGCCTGGCTCTGTGTGGAAGACTAGTGATTTTGTTGTTGTGTTTGTAAAAGTGACAACAAATCATAGCCTGCCATACAGCCCAGGCTGCCACGGCCCAGGTGTGCAAATGTTTTGGGGTGCTGGAGCTCCTGTCCTGTGAGCTTATTCTGCTCCTCAGTCCAAATGTCCCCCAATTCTTCCTTTGGCCCCATTTCTATCCTGAGCATGATGTCCTGTGGTCATCCCTGGGGTCAGTTTGGGTCAGCCCCAGGCACCCCCAGCCCCTCCCCAGTGTGGCTGGACAAGGACAGGAAAGGCCTTGGCTCTGAGAGAGCTCAGCAAGAACAAAAACATCTCTGAGTTATCAGCCCTGTGCTCAGCACAAACCCAAACACAGCCCCAGAGCAGCCACTGAGAAGGAAATTCACT